AAATCAGTAGTATGAGATGTATTCACCCAATTGCATTTAAGGTGATGAAGGACTGGTAGTAGAAGTTACCCACAATGAAACTGCAGTCAACTGGTGCTTGGATGAGAAGAACTTTGAGGAAAGCAAGGCTATGTGAAATGGAATGGAAAATTCAGCTAAAATCATATCATTGTGGGATGATTCTTCTTCTACCAGTCCTTCATCACCTCACACGAAATTGAGTGAATACATTTGATATTGCAATTTAATTGTTGTAAGGACAGTCAACTACCAGTTATTCATCACCTGATGCGATCTAAAAGTCTAGAATGCTTATATTTCTTGTTCAGATTACCCGCGTCTGACAAGATGCTGAACAAATGTGCTGCTCTCGGGTGCAAGTTGGTATCGTTGGCTTTGGTCTGTGAAGTAGGCGTTGTGGAAATGAAGTTTGGCAGCCCCGGGGTTGGTTACAAGCGCTAATTGGCGGATGGATGCTGCTGTGGTTGTGTCAAGATGTGGCCTGAAAAGGGACGTCAAGCGAAAACCAAGTGGCTGAGAGGCTTGCCGACAAGACGGTGCGTTAGACCTGTTGTTTGAGCACCGGTTTGTGGGACTTGTGTGTTGGGCCGTCCATAGAAGTTGGGCAAAGAAAAAGGACGAATCGAGAGAAGGCGTGTAAATGGAATGGGGATTGGCGAAAACAGCTCTCCAGACCGGCCCTATCGCAATCTGCCGGGCGAGAAACGGAGGAAAGGTATAGAATAGGCCACCGGAAGCCGTGATGAGGTAATCGACTCGACTCGACGGGATAATTTAGGAGCCATTCAAGCTGATTGGATAATACGACGATTCTGGCAACCCCGAAGATTGGGATATTTTTCACGTCCAAAATGCTGCATATTTCTTGTCAAAACAAACACACATTATCTTCACAATGCCTGGGTCGGTCCAGGTGACTTGAGGACGGCTTTTTTCATTTTCCAAAATCAAATGCCTAACAGTAAAACTCGCATATAGAATGCGAAGAAAGGTTGTGTTTCGAGGAATCTCTTGTTTCATAATTGTTGAGCTTACTTCCGTTTCGAGTGAAAGTGTTGCGTGAAGAGATTCTAAGGTCGGTTTCTCTCGAATGGCTTTACTGGAACATTCATGCTGACGCCGTTTCCGAGGCAATCTCACTCGATTCCGGTGAAAAGGTGCTAAGCTTTCGTCCGTCATGTGACGAACATCATCAGATCGAAGTAACATCTTCACAACAAGATTCAAGCTGAGTCAAGAAAACTCCGCCGTCGTCTTCTGGTGGAAGCGACCTTCGAATCCCTTTACGCAACACTTTCACTTGAAATGGAAGTAAGCTCAACAATAATGAAGCAAGAGATTCCTCGAAACCCAACTTTTCCTCGCATAGTCTTTTCTTGTCTTGGTTCTAATGTTAGTCACTTTTCTGTACTTTTAGATCACTCTTTCTCTCTCGCATTGAGACCAAAAACCAAAAAAGACACATCAACACAACCAGACGTGGGTCTGACCCTACGCAATCGGAGAGATGGTTATAACTTAAATGTAGAAAGTGGGAGATAGTGGTCATTAAACCTTAATGGCCGAAAACAGACGGTACTTTTGCTGTCCTAATTACTTTGAGCCATCACTGCGGATTTCCTGCATCAGCACATACACACAGAGAGACAGACACACTCACAGGCCTCGAGGTTGAAATATGACCGTAACTAACCAAATCACTTTATACCTCATCAAAGAGGCCAAATGTACAGTATTTATACCACTTTTTATGCATTTGCCGGTGATATTCTTGATTGGTTAGCTTGAATTTGGTTGTGAAGGTGATACCCTGCCCTGATGATGTTCGTCATTTGACGGACCTTTTCATCGGAATTAAAGGATATT